CTGCAGATGTCCCTTCCTCCCTCCTTGTGGGAGCTGGGAGGTCTGAACTCATGCCCATATAACGCAGTCGCACCAGCTCTTGCTGTGGTGGGAATCCCCTTGGCCATCCCAAGAAGCTCCTGCTGGGTCCAGGGAGCTTCACCAAGCACCTGAGCATGGAAGAAGCTGCTCCATGAAAGCTGGCTAGGTTTGCCATTGGGATTAGATGGGAACAAGTGTGTGGGAACACATTAATGTGTCCGTACAGTGCAGATAGTAATGCACAGATGCATGAAACAAAGGGGAATTTGATGTATTCACCACCAGCCAAGGCCAGATCCAGGGTCTGCTGAAGCCTGGCATTGCTGGAGGGAGCTGGGGAACGTCCTGGACACTGGGGACTTGGGGGATTGAGGGATCACTGCGAGATGGAAGAACACCTCAGTCCTTCATGGGAAGTGGCCCTGGGTGTGCAGCTCCTGTGGGTAACGTCCCTGATCCCAACCTCTTCCTGCTTTGGTGTGATCTAAACCACTCCATCAAACATACAGCACCTGAGCTGCGGGCAGGCAGATGTTCCCACCTCCAACAGGGACCAGCTCAGCCCTACGGCCGCTTTCTGGGTGCCTCTGGTGACCCAGCAGCCCCACTCATTTGAACACTGTTTTCCCTGGCCTTTGTCACGGTGTTGGTAACTTGCCACAACTGTGTGCTGAGAATACTCATCTGTAGCCATTGCATTTGGTTTCCTTAAGTGTATTGGGGGATCCAGTGGAAGGGGCCCCTGCCTGTGGAAACTGAATTATATTAAGGTCCTTTCCAACCCAAACCACTTCGTGATTCAATGATTCCATACTTCTATGATCTGTTAAACAAGCTGGGATGTGCCCTCCATGAGCCCGAGCACCAGCTCTGGCTCTGCAGAGACCCAGGATGAGCTGTGAGTGGAGGAAGCACATGGGAAACCACCAGCAGCTTCCCCAGGGCTCACAGGGTACCAGTGGCGGTGGGGCTGCGCTCCGGGTCAGCTCTTCCTCAGGTTAAGCTTCATCAAGGGAACCTGAGCCTGTGAAACGCTGCTCACATCCCACCAGAGCTCCTGTGGCTCTGGTGCAGCTGAAACAAGCGCTTACCCTCAGAGCGGGAGCTTTCTGCTGTCTCTGGGTAGCCAGACCTGTTGGCTGCTGCTCTTCCTGTTGTTCATGATAAAATAGATTTGCTTTTTGTGATTCCACCTCGCTCATGTCACAGCCTTCAGTGCTCTCTTGACCCTGCGTTTTCCCTTTAGCACAGTTTCTTTGTTGTGATTTGGGTTTTGTTTAACTCAGATCAGATTAACTGATGAAAGAGAAACCTAAAATTAGGTGTTCTGTGGAGCCCAGGATGAGAGGTGTTCCTGCCACTGGGAGCAGAGCTGCGGCAAGGGTGAGCCTGGGTTTCACAGCATCATGGAATGGTTTGGGCTGGATGGGACCTTAAAGCTCCTCCAGCTCCAACCCCTGCCATGGGCAGGGACACCTTCCACTGGAGCAGCTTGCTCCAAGCCCCTGTGTCCAACGTGGCCTTGAGCACTGAGCACAGATGGAGCATGCGATGTGTGGCTCTGCAAAGTGACCACAGCCCAACCACCGTGCTCGGTGCCACTCTGTGGCCCTGCACAGCTCTTTGGGATGCTCCATCCCTAATTTGGACTTCGTCTGTTTGGTACCAAGAGGGTCCCTTTTCATGTCAAAGCACCCACAGATGGAGTTATTCATGCTCCCTTCTGGTCCCCACAAGTGAAAGACCTCAGTGCAGCAGCCACTGCTGATGTCCAGCTGCTCACATGTGCTCACTATCAGGTAACAATGAAGTGATGGGGTTTCCAGTTCTGCAGCATCATGCGGGCTGAGAAACTGTAAATGAAGCTGCTTTTGATGTTATCAGCTGCAGAGCACCCGTTTCAAGGTTTCCATCAGCTGGGCACTGTTGACATCAACTCCTGTACCCAGCGGCTCAGGCTCTGCCCCAGCTGCAGGAGAAGTTTATACCAAAAACAGGTTTCTGCCATGGAGCACCTGCCCATGGGACACTTCCTTTATTCCCCTTCTTCCAGGAGGATATCCCTGCAGGAAAACAGCCATGAAACGTTGTAATTGGGAAGATGAGCTTCACTGGGTATCTTCCCTCTGTATTAGCCAGTGGCTGTTTCTCTGGGGTGAGACTCTAAATGGACTCTGAATCCGTTGAGCAGTAAGGAAACAAGCAGGACATTCGGAATCAGGCTAAACTGTGTATGCTGTTTCTCCTCTGGAGGTCATTTAACTTGGCAGAAACACATGGTGGTGTTTTACCAGCTCACTGGAGCGGCACGTTGAATCCTGTTGTGGTGGGTTGGATTTGCCCATCATCCTAATGACGGATGTTAGTGGAGATGCTGCAGATAAGAGCTGACCTGTGCTAGGCTGTCAGATCCTACTGGATTCTACCAGCAGCAGTGCTTTGTGAAACACTGGCTACTGGAAAGGCCTGTTACTAAATAATGCTTTACATGACCACACCGAGCTGTGTGATGGGACCAGCAGGCAGGAGGGAAGGGATGGGATCCTGAGGGACCTGCACAGACTGCAGAGGTGGGACCTTGTGAACCTGATGGAGCACAACCAGGCCAAGTGCAAGGTCGTGTCCCTGGGTCAGGGCAATCCCCAGGCTGGGGGAGACTGGATGGAGCAGCCCTGAGGACAAGGACTTGGGGTGCTGGGTGAGGAGAAGCCCCCCATGACGCTGTGTGCTGGGCTGCACCCCCAGAGCGTGAGCAGCAGCTCAGGGAGGGGATCCTGCCCCTCTGCTGCGTGAAACTCCAGTGCCTAAAGGCAGGGGGATGCAACTACAGGAGCTTGATGTGCCCCCCACCTGCAGCTCCTGCAGAGCACAAGCTCTTCAACACTGTCGTGCCCCCATGTCCCTGCAAGAGCCATCAAGGAAATGGACTGGTTACTCCACTGAACTTTTATTCTGACGGATACAACACACACGGATTTGGTACACAGACAGGCTTGTTTTTAAGGCAAACAATGATCTCAAAATCGTGTTTCTCTACACCACAGCTCCCATAAGACCTTTGACGGAAGGACAACACATCACAACCAGTTTTAGAAGGGCATCTTTAGAGAAGTGCAACAAAAATACACCTTCCCACCCAGACAGGAAATGGAAACAACAGCTTTCGTTGACACTGGAGCTCTCTGAAGTCAGTTTTGAAAGTGCTTTCTCCAGCCACATCCCATGGCTGGCAAATAGTGCTCAAACTCCTCTGTAAACAAATCAAAACCAGGCATTCTCTCTCAATTTCTGGTAGTTAAAAGTAGCTTTTTCATTATACCACCCCCACGAGGCCAGACCTGACTTTTTGCCATGTAAGTGTCCTTTTTCGCTAAAAAAAGCATGAAGTGAACCGAAGTGAGACCCCCCCGATGCTGGAGAGAGGACCCCATGTGCTGTTGCTCTGGAGGGTGCCTTCTCTCTGACAACTTCAGGCGATGCCATGGCTGAGCTGCTCTCTCAGTGCCATGTGCGTGATTGACCACGGGCAGGAAACCCAGAGCTCTCCTCTTGCTGCTCTCAAGAGCTGTAGAAGGGGTCGATCCACTCTTCCTCACTGGCCTTCTCCCTCTCAGGATCCCAGATATGCTCTGCAAGTGCTGCTGTTGCTTGGAAATGCCTTGACAAAGAATCGTGGAATCAACCAGGTTGGAAAAGACCTTTAAGATCATCAAGTCCACCCGTTCCCCAGCACTGCCAAGTGCCTCTGTGGGTTTAGGCTGGCTCTTGGATTAAAGTAAGATGTTATTAGCTTGTAGGGCGCACTCAAATGCCACCCAGAGAAAATCAGACTTCCGTAGGTGAGGGATTAGACAAGGCGGCAGCAGAACGAGAACAGTGAGAGCCAGTTTCTCTGCTGAGGAGTCACTTTATAAACAATGGAAGAGAAGTAAATACAAAGGTTCTGGGCAAGAAATTCCCACCAGATGCAGGATTACATTTGCCTGTAAGGCCCCTGAATTTGACACTATATGGCACATAGTATACGGTGTAAAATAATACGATATATTTTATGCTATTGGCATCTAATTTCACCCAAGAGGCCATGAAAGAAGAGACATTAGAGGCTGTCATCTACAAAAGGGTGAGGAAAACGAGATAAAAACGGTGCTTTTTAAAATACGAACTTCAGATGTGACAAATGGATTGGAACTCAGTTTTCTAACAAAGACCAAAAGTGACTTGGCGAAAGATGTGATTAATGCACCCACTCCAACCCACCTCTTCCAGTCTGCTTCATTTAACAATTTCCAAGCTGCCATAGCTTTCAGATTTAGGTTTTTTGTAAGAAAGAAGAAATAAACTATTTGGGTACTATTTGGGGTACTATTTTGGCCACTTTGCAGGTCATATTAGTTATGAGGATGTTTTTAGTGGCACCCCCAATCCTTAAAATTCATGAGATCTTCATTTTATCCCTGGGCGTGTGACTTTCAAATAAAACAACTCATCTGAAAGCAGCACTTTTGGCTTTGTAAACCTTCACCATTAATCTACAGGCAGAAGAACATTTACTGTCTCCTACAACCTGTTTATCGCTCTCTCCATCTGCTCAGAGTGGGTTTATAGCGTGCTTTGCAAACAGCAATTCTGGCTAAGCCTGGGCAGTTCCCAGGCTCCTATTAGAATAAAACAATCACAGATTCCCACTCGGGCTGTTCATCCCAGTGCTTCACCCTCCTCAGCAAATGAGCTCACTTCGGCATCCACGCAGAATGAGTTTTTATCAGGACAAATCCATGCTACCTTAGCTCTTGACGGGAAATGATGCACCATCACTGGTACGGCACAGCCTTTTCACTGAAACCCCATAAAGCCTCCTTATTTTGTTTTCCTTCAATTCCTCTCTATTTTGCCTCTTTCTCCCCTTGACCCTCCAGAAAAAAAGGAGGAAAAAGGGACTCTCTGAAGTAGATTATCTTAGCATTAAAATCTATATATAGGAGTGGGTCCCGTTAGTAATTTTATCTGTTGAATCTGTTCCAAGTGTCACCGATAGAAAACCCTTTTTTTCTACCTTAACGCAATAGAATTCCCTCCAAACTCTCTTTTAGGCAGACAAAATGCCATGTTCTGCAGCTCAGTTCTGAACAACAATAACAAGAGAATGCAGAAACCAACCCAATTCCTTCCTGCATTTGTGAATTCCTGGCACGTTGGGTAAATAACTGCTTGGCACCGGAGGTCCACTCCGCAATTGCACTTTGAGCTATTTACACGATGCTGACGAGTTACAGACACCCCAATTCACAGTAAGATTTAAAACGACTCGTTGGCAAAAGCAGCTTCCACGCAAATGGGCTGTGCCTTCAGGCCGCTGTCCGTCGGAATTCCTCTGTCAAGGTGATGGACCTCTCCTTGAACTCGTTGTTGGAGCACTTGGAGACAGCGTTGGCTGCTTGGCAGAACTTCTGGAGCAGGATCTTTCGGAGCAGCAGGTAAACCCACGGATCCAGTATCTGGTTGAGGGAAGCCAAACGCACGGCGGTCAGGAAGAAATTGCATTCCTTGTGCAGTTCTGAGCTTTGGCCTTCACTGGAGAATCCCTTGCAGTGCTCAAACGATGTGTGGCTGAAGATCATCTTCAGCATCGTTATCTGAGGAAATCCAGGGGGGAAAAGAGGTATCTGTTAAGAGTCTGCGTATCACCACATGCAGATATCCAGAAAGATAAAATCACAGAATCAATAGAATCCCAGCCTGGTTTGTGTTGGAAGGGAGCTTAAAGCTCCTCCAGCTCCAACCCCTGCCACGGGCAGGGACTCCTTCCACTAGAGCAGCTTGCTCCAAGCCCCTGTGTCCAACCTGGCTTTGAACAATGCCAGGGATGGGGCAGCCACAGCTTCTCCATTCAACCCCATCCAGTGTCCCATCAACCTCATGGGGAAGAACTTCATCCCAAGATCCCATCTAACTCTTCCCTCTTGCAGTTGGAGCCGTTGCTCCTCATCTCATCCCTTCATTCCATGTCCCAAGCCCCTCTCCAGCTTTCCTGCAGCCCCTTCAGGCACTGGAGCTGCTCTCAGGTCTCCCCTTCAGGAGCCTTCTCTTCTCCAGGCTGCCCCAGCCCAGCTCTCTCAGCCTGGCTCCAGAGCAGAGCTGCTCCAGCCCTCGCAGCATCTCCATGGCCTCCTCTGGCCTCGCTCCAACAGCTCCACATCCCTCTTGTGCTGCTGCCCCAGAGCTGGATCAGGGCTGCAGGCAGAACCCTGTCAATAAACGTTTTTCCTCCCTTATCAGAGCACGTAAGCATGGAGAGAGCACTGAGTTTGTGTGTGTAAAATGAGTGATAAGCATGGAACCTTTCAGCATCACTCAGCTTTATTTACTGACCTCATGCTAACCACAGGCAGCACATGCTGCTCCCTGCTTGAGACACAGCCTGTGTGTCCAAGAGGTTCGAGATGGCCTTGGCTACAGAGGGAAACTACTGACCTTGCAGATTGACTTAAAGGTCCTCATTTTCCAACCCTAACTATTCCATGATTCCATGATGTTATCATGATCAGATATTACAACTACACGGAACAGCTGAATAGTCACGATATGTCGAGCTCTTCAAAATGATGGCATTAACAGTAAGGAAAAAGAATTTAAAATACTAAAATGTCTTCATTTATTTTGAAGCTGTTTGATTCTATGACTTCTAAATTTCACCATTTGATTTTAAGATAACTTATTCTGCATATAAGCTCAGCCAAACTAGAAGGAAAGGGTTACTGAGGGTGTTTGGGGGTAGGAATCAAGAAAGTGTTTTAAGTCAACAGCAAAAACCTTTTCCTTCTGTTGAAAGCCACGGACTGTGCTTTGTGTCAACCTGACCTGTATCTATTTCCTCCTTCCTCCCTCCATTCAGCTACCCCAGTGGACAGAAGGATATATTTAGGAATGTTTCCCACAGCATCCGCAGTGGCATGGCTGAGAGACACTATTTACACTGTAAGATGCTTCACACAAGAAGAAGTTTCCACAGCTGAGGGCTCCCACAGCTCACAGCATGATCCAGCTCTGGCCTGGCAGCCAAAAGCCACACACAGGTTGATTTTTGGGGGATGAAACTCCATTGGGCACGGCAGCATCTTCATTTACCATCCCAGTTAGGCAGCGCAGGGCTGTGGGTCCTGCCATGGGCGTTATGTGGATGGCACATGTCAGAATGTAAGCACAGGTCAGCAAATGTCATTCATTTATTCAGGAAAAACAAAGAGGAGGCAGCTTCGACTCGTGCTTTTATCCCACAACCTACACTTTAAGGTAATTTTATCACTCATATTTCAAAGCGTCACCAAAGGGGCTGCAGGAAAGCTGGAGAGGGGCTTTGGGCAAGGGCTTGCAGGGCCATGCCAAGGGGAATGGCTTTAACCTGCCAGAGGGGAGACTGAGCTGAGCTCTTAGGCAGAAGCTCTTCCCTGTGAGGGTGCTGAGGCGCTGGCACAGGGTGCCCAGGGAAGCTGTGGCTGCCCCATCCCTGGCAGTGTTCAAGGCCAGGTTGGACACAGGGGCTTGGAGCAAGCTGCTCTAGGGGAAGGGGTCCCTGCCCGTGGCAGGGGTTGGAGCTGGAGGAGCTTTAAGGTCCCTTCCAACCTGAACCACAGCAGACCAGCCTGGGATCTCCAGGGCACGGCTCCAGCCATGGGAGCACTGGCTTTGATATTGGGCTCCTGCTTATTCATGTGAAAACAGAAGCTTTTTCGCTTGGTTGTTTCTTAAAGCTGGTGCTAGAGCTCACCAGATTGGTGGTGTGATGCTCTCGTACTAATACACAACATGGGAAATAGGAATCACATTCTGATACATGTCAGATAAATGTAATCATTGGTATCCCTTGTCTGGAGTTTTCTCCTGAGCTTTCTGTACCAACTCCAGCTGCTTCAAAATATATCACTTTAGAGGCTTTTACTCGCTTCTCTAAGATAAGCTACATTAGATTTTGTATTGCAATGTTTTTCCCAGGAGCCCATAAACACGGGAATATCTTCTGAGCATGCAACCTGCTGCCAAAACAACACGGTTATCGGCTGTACAACGGGAAATTCCTGTGCCGTGATGCAGAAGGAAGCTCTGGGGTGCTTTAGAGGAAGGCAAAAGGCAGAGCTGATGCCGGGACGGAGCCTGCTTCATGATGTACAGCAGGTAACAGCGAGTGGGGCTTCTTGCTGGGTACCAGGTCCTAAGTGTGGAGTGACCCGGAACTTGGGAAGTTGGGATAGGAACTGTGCTGCACTCTGTGCTCCAAGGTTGGCTGCTGAACACCTGACTTCTCCTGGACAGGTCCTTTTCTTGCTTGCAAATCTCTTCTGGGCATAGAACCACAGAACCCCAGCCTGGTTTGGGTTGGAAGGGACCTTAAAGCCCATCCAGCTCCAACCCCTGCCACGGGCAGGGACCCCTTCCACTAGAGCAGCTTGCTCCAAGCCCCTGTGTCCAGCCTGGCCTTGAGCACTGCCAGGGATGGGGCAGCCATGACTTGAAGACCTCTCCTGATTGTACAGCCTGGAAATCCTCATGGAGATGGATAACCCTGCTCAGTGGCGCTGATGCACATCTAACTCGCTGCCTTCGCCAAGGTCAGCGGTACCATACACTCAGTGAACTGCCGGCAGTCCTGAACAAGCAGGGAAGAGCCTGTGGGATGAGACTTGTGATCAATAGTTCACAGTCCTGTCAACTTCTTGACTTCAGCCTTCCGAAAGGAGCAGGAGAACCCACACCAGCAGCACCACAGGCTGAGCGATCCCAGCAAGGCTTTCCCACAGGAGCCTGCATTCAGAGTGCAGCGTCACCCGGAAAGGTCACATCTGGACCGCTGCTGTCCCCAGGAACTGGGACACCCTGCACAAGAGAGCCCAGGAGGAGAGGCTACGGGGGAGGGTTTTTCCGTTCAAAGGGATATTCTGGGTACCAGATCAATAACCCTGTGTTGACCTTGGAAAGCCTGAGCTGGGTCCGTAAGGCAGGGCAGCTGGGGCAGCAAGCTAGAACTGTTTGTGTTTCTGGAAATAGAAGCAGCTCAGGATTGCATTTAATTTAAATGTAAATGAAAACCAGTAACCACTGGTAGAGCTTTTGGAAAGTATGGGAACATACAGGGGCAGACCACACCAAACAGCCTCTTGTGCACCGGGCCCATACAACCACAACCCTACCACTTCCCTGCCACTGTTCAGGGTGCTGCTGCTGGCCCTGCTGTCACTGTCACTGTCACAGCTCGATCTACACTGCAGGCAGCATCTGCCTCCCATGGCCACCAGTCCAGCATCCAGCACAGCGCACCTCAGTGGGGACTGCAGCATCACAGTGCCATGGAGGGGGTACTGGTATTGTGTGAACACACTGCAGCCAGGGAAGCCACACCGTGTTCATCATTCCCAGTATTCCGGTCCCTTTCTCCCAGCTCTTAGAGCTTGTCCTTTGGGAGCTCTGCAATGACCCTTGTTTTGCAGCCCTTGCTGTCTTGTCCTTTTGTTAGTGAACCCACGGAGCTACAGAAATATCAGGCTAATAAAATACATTTCCCAAGCAGACAACTGCCGCTTATTTTGGGGTTTATTACATAATATTCCTTTACTGGAATATCAGTTGGCCCAACAATTGCTCTACTGGAAATTCTATTTGTTTGATATCCTTAGAGGTTGTTTATCAGGGCCTGCACTGGTCTTCTAAATGAATTATGACTGCAAAAGGTGGAGGAACAACACCAGGTGGAATGAAGTCACTGGAGCTACACAATCTATGCCAGTAAAAAATCTGGCTCAAAATGAAGAAAGCTGATAATTGGATTTATTCAGTTAAGAGGAGATAAAACTTTACTGTATCACTGCGTGCAGGGTTACACCACCACCAAACCTCCACTGCTCTGACTTTCAAACCTACAACCAAACACAGGATGTGTTCTTTGAGACATCTTTACAGTGCTCCGAATGAAGTTGGAATTTCCAGGTTGTTTCATAGACCGCAGATGGGAACCATCCCTGTGCCTTATTGGCACTAGCTCCACTTCCCATGGGCAGCTTGCATGACCTCAGGGGCTCCCAGGCAGGTCATTATTACACTGCAAAGAGCCTGCAATGAATTTCCACTGCAGTTAGAACAGGGAGACAAAAGCTTTCCAAACACATTCCTGTAGTTTTACAAACTATGTTGGAGGCTTCTGCTTCTGTAAAGGATGGAGAATGAAGCAGCTGATGTGCTTGCAGATGTTTATTTTTCAGCCAAGCAGGAGCTCCTGCTACCTGCAGCCTGATGGGAAATTCCTGCTCCCAGACTGCACAATCTTTTCTTGAGATAGCTTCCAAAACCCCAAACATTTTCTATGCATCATGAAGGAGGATTCATCCCCTTACACTGCTTCTCCTCTCCCATCAGCCCTAAGCTGTTGCTTAAATCATTCTCTCACACATAAAGCAACAAGCTGTAGGAGCAGAGGATTCTCCTGATGAAACACAAACAGAGTGAACCATGGAAAGGCACCATGGGGAGGGTGTGATTTGTCCCTGTACTGACACACGTACCAGCCTGGTTCAAACACGGTACAACACGTACCAGCCTGGTTCAAACACGGTGTGACACGTACCAGCCTGGTTCAAACACGGTACGACACGTACCAGCCTGGTTCAAACAGGGTACGACACGTACCAGCCTGGTTCAAACACAGTATGACACGTACCAGCCTGGTTCAAACACGGTACAACACGTACCAGCCTGGTTCAAACATGGTACAACACGTACCAGCCTGGTTCAAACATGGCACAACACGTACCAGCCTGGTTCAAACACGGTGCGACACGTACCAGCCTCGTTCAAACACGGTGTGACACGTACCAGCCTGGTTCAAACACGGTGCAACACGTACCAGCCTGGTTCAAACACGGTGCAACACGTACCAGCCTGGTTCAAACACGGTGCGACACGTACCAGCCTGGTTCAAGCATGGTACGACACGTACCAGCCTGGTTCAAACACGGTGCAACACGTACCAGCCTGGTTCAAACACGGTGCAACACGTACCAGCCTGGTTCAAACACGGTGCGACACGTATCAGCCTGGTTCAAACACGGTGCGACACGTACCAGCCTGGTTCAAACACGGTGCGACACGTACCAGCCTGGTTCAAGCATGGTACGACACGTACCAGCCTGGTTCAAACACGGTATGACATGTACCAGCCTGGTTCAAACATGGTACAACACATACCAGCCTGGTTCAAACAGGGTACAACACGTACCAGCCTGGTTCAAACACGGTGCGACACGTACCAGCCTGGTTCAAACACGGTACGACACGTACCAGCCTGGTTCAAACACGGTGCAACACGCACCAGCCTGGTTCAAACATGGTGCAACACGTACCAGCCTGGTTCAAACACGGTACAACACGCACCAGCCTGGTTCAAACATGGTGCAACACGTACCAGCCTGGTTCAAACATGGTACAACACATACCAGCCTCGCTCAAACACGGTGTGACACGTACCAGCCTGGTTCAAGCATGGTACAACACGTACCAGCCTGGTTCAAAATCAGAGCGGTAATTGTATGTTGTATTTTTAAGACTCCTGCTGCGTGTGCTGGAGCTGAGGCAGGATGGAGGATTTCAGTTCGAGCAGCCCAAATGCTTGTTACAAACCCTACTTTGGGGGCATGCAGGAGAACTTCCCACTGCCCAGCATGGACAAGGGTTCTTTTCTTTTCCCTTTTCTCCAGTCTTCTGGCCAAACAGAAAGGCTCAGTACTCTGGGGCAGTTTTGAAACGGGGAAGAGGAGCATTAGTAGGAACAGCTCCTGCTCATAGAATAGCAGCTCAGTGATTTCAGTCTTTTGTTCTAAGCAAAGGTGCTTTCCAGAACTATGTTTTACACATCTAAAAATACTACAAATAACATGTTTTTAATAAAAATGCCTGTAAATGAGAAGTTATTTAATTCCTGTATTCAATTTATTTTAAATACAAGTAATTTAATAGGAAATGCAGCAGAATACCTGAGCATTTTGGCTTTCACTACCCTTGAAACAACTTTGAGTGAGTAATTTTGAGCCTGTAGCTCTGAAAGAATTATTATGAGAGTTTGTGCTGCACTGGTGCTCCTGTGCAGCCAAGAAACAGCCTCTTCTATTTCCCTCAGACCCACTGCAATCTGCTGACAGTTTAGTTCAGTGGTTACGCTCCACAGTTGAGCATCAAAATAAACACAGGATTAACACAAACTGCAAATCAGTTACGATAAAGCAGGATCTTAAATTTAAGTGTTCTCCCAAGCTCTCCAGGCAGAATTCAAGTAAGACCCCGAGCACACAACAAAAGGAGATCACGCTGGCATTCCCTGTCTGCTACCAAACCCAGTATACACCAAGAGAAGGCAGAAGGCTTCATTTAGAGCACCGCCACTGTCATCGTGTCACTTTTCTGTTAAATCACATTTGATTTTGTCATTTGCATCAACAAGTCAGGTCTAAAACAGTGTCTGTGTAAAAGGGCATTGTTTAATTGTAAAAGTTGTCAGAATCCACCAATTCTCGGTTGTAAAACTCAGATATCTTAAAAAAAAAATCTCTGAAAATCTCTGGATTCCCGTTTCAACTAAATTTCTTACAACTGCTGCGGGATCCCGCTATTTAGAGGTTAAATGAGTTCCAGGATCTGGCTTTCCCTGAAAACGCACCCGCATTACTCCACGGTCACTCTTGCAAACATGCCCTCTTATTCCCAACTCGTACTTTGCAGTGGCACAGAAGCCAGAGTACGTGTGAAACCGCTCCCATAGCCGTGACCCCTGGTTTAGGAGCGTGGAGACCGGAGCATACGCTGAGCAGAGGAGTTCTGCAGAGCTCCAGGGGGCAAGGGGGGTGCTCCCCAGTGCTGCCGCAGCCGCACGGGGAGGTGACCTGGTCACAGGCTCACTCTGGGCTAGGCTGTGTCACCCGGAGGGGCAGCAAGTCCTCCCCACCACCAGCAGTGCCTGCAAGGGGCTGACAGCCGCTATCTCCTCTGCCGCCCCTGCCTTTGACTCGGGAGTCTGGAATCAGCTCCCTTCCACAGCTCCAAGTGTCCCTGCTCCCTCTCACCAGCTCCCGAAGCGAGGGGTCAGGGTTGTTTACAGCAGCCTCCGACCTGGGCTCCGCTCCATTAACATCTCCCGTTAACATCTCCCATTAACATCTCCCATTAACATCTCCCATTAACACCTCCCCAGATCCATTCAGCAGCGCCAGGGCAGCTCCATCCTTTTGACTTCACCTGCAAGAATGCCGCGGAAAGGGAAGCACCAAGGGGGATCCCTGCATCCGCACTGGGTCTGATGAGCACCCAGGTTCTGAAGGAAGGGAAACAGTGTGCCTCACCGCAGGGATTTTCTCTCCATGCTACAAGGCTGGTTAAAACCTCAGGGAGCAGCGTGGATCCTGCTGCCCCGGCTGCGGAGGGCAGAACACGCATCCCGATGGAAACACTACAAACCTTCCTTCATTTACTAATTACCTCCCGATCTGTTAATCCGTGTAATGACAGGGAAGCATGCAGCAGTTAACTGCTGTGAAACACAGAAATCCTGGGGTGTCCCCCTGGGAGCTGACTGCGGTCAGGACGTGCCCTGCAGTGTTACCAGCGAGCCAAGGTGCCTGGGACCACGGCTGCCCCATGCGCAGAGATGCTGGGATGGTGACAGGGCAGTCTCCTGCTTTAACTTCCCAAACCTAACGCTCCTTGGGCTCCTTGCTCTCAAGTCCTCACTAGATTTTCACTGTGGTTTCGTGTTTTACCTTCGTCACAAGCTGTTAATGATCTCTAGAAAGTTAACTCTCAGCCTATGACTTGCTTTGGGGCAGTGTTACTTTGGAGATTTGATGGAATTTGAATTAATTTACAAGGATAACATTGTTTTCTGTTTTTACTTCCCATTCGCCGTCACCTTTGTCAGCCCCTCTCCTCACAGCCACATTTATGAGAGCTCTATTTCTTTGTGCACAAGGAGAAAACCCCTTCTCTAGCCATAAAGTACATGTAACTTCAAAATCACTGCAGCTTGCTTCAGCCCCTGCCTGCCCATGGATTCCAAGCACAACTTTCAACAAGCCATACTCTCTGATAACAGTGTGATTTCTTTCTGAAAGAAAGGTCATTAAGTGAGGAGTAACAGAATGGTGGAAAGCAGCGCAAGGGTACTTCAAAACAGCACAAGCAAGAAGCCCAGAATGCTGCTGTAAAGGGGATGCAGTGAGCAATGTGCTGCAAGCCAGAAGGCGATCACAAAGCCACAAGCCAAGCCTTTGCTCACAAAGTACTGAAGTTTTGTTACAAGTTGGGAGTAAATAAAAAATCATGGAAAGCTGTTTCCTGGGGGTGCAGAATCACGGCTTGTGTTGGAAGGGAGCTTAAAGCTCCTCCAGCTCCAACCCGTCAGGGGCAGGGACCCCTTCCACTAGAGCAGCTTGCTCCAAACCCCTGTGTCCAACCTGGCCTTGAACACTGCCAGGGATGGGGCAGCCACAGCTTCTCTGGGCACCCTATCCTCCCAGTCCTGTCCCCACTTTCTTTCCTCAAAGGACATCTATACTGCCCGTGAGGAACACGAACCACTGGTGCCCCCCACCCTGCCCTGGCTCTCGGAGCCCCCCTGCCCCAAGGGATGGAGGAGTCCTGTGGTCACCCCAGGTCGGGTGACACGGTGACCTACCAGCAGCGGTGACCAGCAGGCCGAGAGGACACACATGATCCCCAGGAGCTGGATCAGTGTCTCCATGGCGATCCGTCCCCACTGCTTGCTGGAGCGCGCCGCGGTCGCTTTGGTCCGACAGCGAGACACCAAGGCCTCGATGGTGGCCAGGTTGCAGACCACGGTCACCACGAGGGACAGGAGCCCCAGCACGGCGAAGGTGGAGGCGAAGAAGAGGCTGCCGGTGAGCCGGCTGTCACCGGTGCTGATGAAGCACCACGTGCCGGGCCACTGCAGCGTGTACTGGCCCAGGCCGGCGATGGGCAGGAGGGCGAAGGCGAACACGGCCAGCCAGATGCTGAGCAGCACCGCCTTGGTCACCCGCGTCTTCATGTGGCTGGCGTACCAGTGCGGCGCGCGGATGGCCAGCGTCCTCTCCACGGCCATGGCGCTGGCGATGAAGAGCGGGCAGAGGCCGAACACGGTCATGCTGAAGCCGAAGAAGGCGCAGAGGTGGCCCGAGGGGTCGATGGCGTGCCAGGCGCGGTTGGACAGGTACACGGAGATGACGATGGGGCTGGTGAGCAGCTGCCCCAGCAGGTCGGTGAGCGCCAGGGAGCCGATGCACAGCAGGAAGGACCGCTTGCGCCGGCTCTCCTTGGCGCGGTAGCTGCGGGACAGCAGCAGCATGGCCAGCGCGTTGCCCACGATGCCCGTGATCATCATGGTGAGCGGGAAGGCCACGGACACGCCGCTGCAGCCCTCCGCGGCCGCAGCCCGCCCGGTGCCGTTGCCGCGCTGCCGCATGGCGCCGGGCTCGGAGCCGTTGTGGCCGCCCTGGCACTGCCGCCACCCGCTCATCCCGGCGGGGTCGGCGGCGGCGGGGCGCGGAGCAGCAGCCGGCCCATGGCGGCGGCGGGCGGCGCTCGGGCGCGGCGGCAGCGTTATAAGGCGGGGGGGGGGGGGAGGCGGGCGGCGCGTCCCGTCCCGCCCCGTCCCGCAGGGCAGGCAGCGAGGCGGAGGGGGGGGAAGCGCTGAGAGCCCCGGCGGGGTCTGCACCGGCCGCGCCCCGCCGCGGGAACGGAACCGGACGGGAAGGGGGGTCCCGAGGGGTCCCAGCGCGGTGGCGGCGGCGGCCGCTGCTCCAGCCGCTCTGCCGCCTCTGCTTCCCCCGGGCGGCTCCGGCGCCGTGCCCCTGTGTCACCCGCGGCGGTACCGGCACCGACCCTGGGGTCCCTCCCTGCCTCCCCCGGCCCCGTCGTCCCGCTGAAGCTGGGTCGCTGCCGAGCGTGAGGCGCAGCTCCGGGCGCTCCGCGTGTGCCACGAACGCGCTTTTCCTCCTGTTCTCTCGCTCTGCCGAGCGCTGAGGACTCGTCCAGCGCAGCTCAGGCTCAGCCGAGTCGTTCCCGGAGCGATGGGGTTGAACTGACAGAGGCAGAAGCTCTGTCACAGGCAGAAGCTCTTCCCTGTGAGGGTGCTGAGGCGCTGGCACAGGGTGCCCAGAGAAGCTGTGGCTGCCCCATCCCTGGCAGTGTTCAAGGCCAGGTTGGACACAGGGGCTTGGAGCAAGCTGCTCTAGTGGAAGGGGTCCCTGCCCCTGGCAGGGGTTGGAGCTGGAGGAGCTTTAAGGTCCCTTCCAACCAATCTGGGATTCTGTGAGCTCCGATAGTTTTGAGATCTGAATAAGGAATTACCCACTATTAAAGCAGCTCATGCAAAACCACCGGACCTCTGTGTTGTTACACTCCGACACCTGTGCTGATCTTCCTGTGTGTAACCACAGAGGCACCAGCACAGCCAGTCCCCAGTGATCTTTACCTTCTGCACTATTCAAATCAGCCACTCTAGGAATCCTTTTCCAGGCATTTTTTAACTTGTGTTAGATGCAGGTCTTTTATTTCATACAACATGCTGAAAAACACAATATTGCTTTATTGTTTTATCAGTCTCCTGTGCTTTGTGAGACATTCTAGCATCCTTTCCATCCTGTCAGGTGCTTCCTTTGTGCCCAGTTACATAGCTCAAGTCACCAATTTTTGATTCTTTATATTCACGAAGCAGCCAATTCTCAGCCCTTCTTCCATTTCTCTGTTCTCAGGCCATAACCACCTTGATTAACCACAAATAACGGAGCACCCCTAAGTATGAGATTGCGAGTACTGACCAGGCAGAGCACCCACTGCACTGAAACACCTCCAGTGTTATGTCATTTCTACATTCTCCTGCCCTCAGGGGGTTGGTGGGACCTGGCTGAAGCTCCCAACAAGCCAGAGAACAGACAGGAATTACCTTTACAAATCCTCACTTCCCATTACAATAACTTGTTTGCTTACAAGCAGGAATTTCTAATCTTGATCCATTGATTCAGCTGTCACGAGGGATTTAAGTAATTTCTCCTTTCAGAGTTAACAGTTCTAGGAAGTTTTAAGTGTTTTATGAGCCAAAAATGATACCAAGGAAATCTAATTCTGGTCCCCGTTCTACAGAAAAAGATATGGATGGGCTGGAGAGGGTCCAGAGAAGGGCCATAAAGATGATCCAAGGGCTGGGCAGCAAGGGAGGAAAGGCTGAAGGAGCTGGGACTGTTCAGCCCAAAGAAGGCTCAGGGAGACCTTATCATCATGTGCCAGTATTTAAGGGGTGGCTACAAAGAAGGTGGAGAGAGTACCTTTTGACAAGGAGTCCCATGGAAAACATGGGGGTTGATGGGCACAAGTTACTGCTGGGGAGATTCTGAACTGGGCACAAGCAGAAAATGTTTCCCAATGAGAACAACCAACCACTGGAACAATCTCACCAGAGAAGTGGTGGATTCCCCAGCATTGGATGCTGTTAGGATTCAGCTGCACAGGGTGCTGGGGCATCTAGTCTAGGTCATGCTGTGCCTAGAAAGGTTGGACCAGATGATCCTGAGGTCCCTTCCAGCCTGTGATGGGTTTAAATACTGTCCTGCTCAGGTTTTACTGTGTATGACCAACGTGCATAGGCTAAATCACAAAATGGGAAGAGCCACATTTCTCTTTAAATAAGCCACATGGGAAGTTATGGCTGGCTTTATAAATTACTGAGCTGTGGCCTGTTAATTCTCTACTTTTTAGAACATGCACAATGATGTCTCCTTAAATGGAAGAATCCAGACTTTGGATTCTTACACAGCAGGATGCCAATTGCAAAGCAAGTCCCGTGCTGGGAACAGTGTTCACACTAAATTCGAGTGCACACAGCTTAAAGTAGAAAGTGTGAGGGGAAAATACCCTTTTCCCTGCTCCTCCCCTCTCCCCTGTTTGTGACATTGATTTGTCTTATTTGGAGCTACACCCATTCCATGTCCTCCTCTGCTATGTGGAATGTTTTTGTGCCATTTTGTGCTGGGTTCTTGTGTCCCAGAGCTTTACAGTGGGAATATTCCCCATGAGCTTAAGCTGTGTGTTATTTATGGATGGCATCCACTGCCAGCCCAGGAGAGAGCATCCCTTTATTAGTTCCATTTTGCAGACTGAGTCTGGAGCACTCCACAGACCTTTTCATTTTTGGTGCATGTGTAAGTGCTATTTTTTTTCCAATAAAAATACCGCTTATTTTGATAATGGCAGTAAATTGTTAAAGTGAGTCAATTGTGCAGAACTTTGCTCAAAGCAGTTATCATACCTGAATGGTTACAGGAGCACCTTCTGGTGCTCCACTGTCCATTTTGGAAAGGTTGGCACAAATACCTATGCTTTCATACTTAAGAAACCCAAACCAAACCAAGCAGCCTATTAGCTCATGTTACTCTGATTAAAGAACAAAACCTCCTTTATATTAAAGGAATTTTAGACAGAAAATTCTATGACCTGTATCATCTAGAAAATAATACATTCTGATTAATGCTCCAAGAATAAAGTACAGGATTGATAAAGAACATCAGCTAGTTTCTCCCCCAAAAGCTGTTGGAAGCTACAGCACAGGGACTGGAGCAGAGGCAGCATCCCCAGCAGGGAAACTACTCCCATGGGAAGGAAGGTAAAGCCAGGCTGATCCCAGGATGCTGCTGTTATCAGCAAGGAGCTAAGTGTGTGTTACCGAATGTGGCACTATATCCCTCTTAAAACTTCCATTGGCTTCAGTCGAACTTCCTCCCATCAGCCCCCCATTGAAAGTATCTTCTCCTATTGCGCAAGAATATTTACTTTAGGATCTCAGTAACTCCTTATCTGGCTTGGAAAGGACTTGAGCATGAAGTCTTTTCTGATGGAAGACAACAGTGAAACACCATGGTTACCAGCTGAAGTGAGGTGCTTATGGAGGATGAAACTGCCAACCCCTCCACTGCCATCCTGGGAATTTCAGACTCCACTGGCCAGCTCTTGATTGTCAAAGTCTGCTTTTAAGAAGCCTTTTCCAATACCCAAATGAGAGACATCAGGTATAAAACACTATTAAAAGTTATCCAGCCCTACTTGGTAGGGATGGGGCCTGGAGCAACCTGCTCTAGGGAAAGGTGTCCCTGCCTGTGGCAGGGGGTTGGAACTGGGTGAGCTTTAAGGTCCCTTCCCACCCAAACCATATGTGCTCTACTCTGACAATCAGAAAGGTTTCATGTCAGCATCTTCAGCAGTGGGAGTATTTTCCACTACTCTTTAAGTAATGTTCAATGATTTCCAGTGACAGCACCATTGAATCTGAAATGTTTAAAATGATAATCAATACAAGCCCGTGGTGCAACACGTCACCCCCACCAGAACAAGGCATGGCCACTGAGCAATGCCTAATGCACTGGAAAGGACAAAAATACTGCAGATCACACAGTGTAACAGCTAACTGCAAGAGTTAAGTATAAGTAAACTGAAGTTAGTGAAAAGTAAACTGAAGTTAGTAAGTTTAAGTTAGTGGGAAGTAAGACCCAACACAGAGCCTATTTAATCTCTGGTTGTTCATCACAGTGGTTTCTATCACACAGCAGTGTAGAGGAGTTAGTGGAAATGAAGCAATCTTAGTTTAAAATATTCCAACACTCACGTTTTAATGGCTTTTATCATTGACTGAAGAAAACTTATTCATCAGGGAATTTTAAAGTTGCCCAATTTATATAAAGGCCAGTGTTACCTCAAATCCCTTTCCAGTTTTCACTTCCTACAGAAGAACACTTGTGCAAACCCACCCTGACTATCCATGAATGTATTTAGTTTTTCTTAGAAAAGCACATTACCCTTAAACTTGACCTAATCTCCACTTCCTCCTGCATGCCGATCACTGATCTTTGATAAAGCTGCACACAAATACCAGTTTATTTCTGCAGGCAGCAACTGATCTGATTCCAGTGAATACATTGAGGGCAAGGGAATAATTTCTAGTGAAACTGAAAAATATACTGTTAGGTCACTGGAGACCATTGTATCCCAACCCACACCAACTCTCCCCACAGTAATGCCACAGCTTTCTACTCCCTGAGCCACAGCCAGCTTTGTGTCTGAGCAGAGGTGAACCATATCAAGTCTGATCACTTGGTTCTCACTTATTTGCTGATCCAGTAACTACAAAGAGGTATTCTGCATGCAGACAACCACAGCCACTGTGCCTTTGTCATTTAAAATGTAGAAATTAAAGTAATTTAAATATACCTCCTCTGAGAACAGCCTGAAAAGAAGATAAGGAAATGAAAATGCCTTGAATTTCTTAACAGCTCATTTTAAACGTGCTGCTGTTTGAATCCTGAAGCATTTTCAGTACTTAAAGAACTGAAACAATCTGAAAATGCATGATATATACGGCCAGGGAAGGATATGAACCACCCTTCTTGCACTGCAGTCACACCACCACATGTACACGGAAGGATTGCTTTACATTTCCAAGAGAAGCACTTGCTGCACAGTTGACTCACAGGCTTTATTTACACTTGTCTACAGAATCATTTTGCCTTACATTTTATCTAAGCCAAATGAA